CTCCTGCATAAGTAATTTTTAATTTTTCCAATTCTTAAAAGTTACAGTTCTAACCAGTATCAGTTACAATATCAGTTACAGTTCTAGCGCCTGTGTCTTTTCTTGTTCTGCTTTTCTCGGCTTAGCACCTTGGGCAACAATCAGTGTCTTAGTCTAAGTGCCGTTTTAATTTCCCATAATGCCGCTGAAGTAGCATCATTCGGAAACACGATGGGGAATTAAAATATAGGTAGTCCTCGCTTAATGACCACAATTGAGACTGGCAACTGTTGCTAAGCGACGTGGTAGTTCAGTGAAACATCATGTGACCCTGCCCGACTTATGACGTCACTTTCCATTTGGTTGTTAAGCAACTCACCATGGTTGTTAAACAAGACATCATGTGACTACGATTTGCGATTTTACTGCAGGCTTCTCCATTGACCCTGCTTGTCAGAAGCCAGTTGCGAAGTGCCCGAATGTGAATCATGCGGGATGCTGCAACAGCCAGAAATGCGAGGACCAGTCATAAAGTTATTTTTTCAGCACTGTTGTAACTTCAAATGGTCGCTAAACAGGGCAGTTGTTAAGTGAGGACTACCTGAAGCGGTCCTTGGCCACCAGTGTTTTCACTTAGAACCAACCTTGGAGACAAGGGAGCTGATATGTGTGTAACCAGGGTCTCATGAGTCCAGCAGCTGGCCTCCATCTATTCTTCATTTTTTAATATATACCTCGCCTGCCTGTTTCACAATTTCCACCAACTGCCCTCATCAATCCCTCTGAAATCCATCCTCTTTCTTGTTCCTGGTAATCCTCAATCACTCTTGATTTGAAATAAGCCAGCGAACACCAGATTCTTCCTAAGGTTTGCTAGCCGAACAGGGTGGGGGAATATACAAGGGGGAAAACAATGAAGAAATTAGGCCAGCAGGACATTTTACAGACATAGTGCAAACGTCACCCGTTTCTGGCTGCAGAGGGAGCAGGCTTAAGGCACTTGGCTCACCATTGTTTTATTAATGAGCTGCCACCCCTGCGATCTGGTCAACTACATGCAAAAAGAAAAGAAATGTGCTGGCGTGCACAGAAAACACTGTTCTTAAGGAACAGGGCCAGGGACCTCTTACGTCCATTTCTTTCTATCAAGGCCAACCTTCAGGCGGAGCAAAGGCAAGGGAGCAGCAGATGAGTCACGGCTGAGGGAAGCAGCCCCGATCGTTGGCTACCTCCCTGGTTTAGAGAAAGCGGCTTTTCTCGCACTCCAGAGGAGAAGTGTGGAAGGATGCCAACTCAATCAATGTTAGAATTATAGCACGGAGGGAGAAGAAACTAAGTAATCCCTCTTTTTCTAGCCACAGTATCCCCCCTAAACACCTCCCCCATTCACACAGCAAGGATGGTAAAAGGACAAATAAAACAAACCCCAAAATCTAGTCCTAGAGTCGGGGAGGCTTTCGATTATTTTAATATTCCCAAATTGTTGCATGAGAGCTCATTTGGTGTAGTGGTTAAAGGCACCGGGCTAGAAGCGGCGCGGCCCTGAGTTCTAGTCCTGCTTTAGGCACAAAGCCCACTGGGTGATTTGGGGCCAGTCCTTCTCTCTTCAGCCCCAGGAAGGAAAAGGCCAGGGCAAGCCACTTCCAGAAACAGTTGCCAAGAAAACTGCAGGGACCTGTCCATTTAGTCACAAATCTGACTCAAAGGCACTGAATCAATCAATGAATAAATTGTGGCATGGAAATGCTGTAAGATCACATTTTCTGTGGTGTGGTTTCCTGATCTGGATCAATCTTTCTGACTTCCTTTTGGAGTAAGAAAAAAAAAACACTGATAAAAAGTAATATTTAAGTAAGTTTTCCATGATCCAGTGCCTCGTTAAATCTCCCCGATGTTCAAGCTAAAACCGGGGAGTAGGATTTTGCTGTACCTAATGACTCATTAGTTCCTCCTCTAATAGAGTTGTAAGTGCGCTTACTGATCCAAGTGAGAAACACAGCAGACCTTGGCTTTCAAAATGAACAAAATTGGCTCCTGGCAACAGCTCATGTTCATCAAAGGCACAAATGCTGAAAAGTGCAGAGAGATTAATGGCACAAGTCCGGTGCTTCTTAAGCAACCGACAGCCCCATACGCATGGGTTGGAGGCAAGAAATGTGCTGGAGCCTCTCCGTCCGTGATTTTGCTTGGGGAAGGAGGAGGAAGAGAGAAGAAATGCTTGCTCTGTGCATTTCTCTTTGTCAAGCCCATCTCCAAGATGCAGCGAGAGGAAGGAGAAGCTGGAGAACGGGCCATTGCGTTCAGCTATAGGCCAGACCTAGTGCCAGAACTAAATGGTATCCTAGCATCACCCCGCTAGGTAGACCAGACCAAGAGATCAACTCCACAAGAAGGCTAAAACTACCTCTATCGAGATGGATTACAAGAACAGAATCTTGCAAGGCTGATTGTGCTGTATCTCCTCCCGCTTCTTATACTCTTGTGAATCAGGGAGGTCTCTGTCTCAGATGCTTCCAGATGTTATCTGGACGTTCTGGTCTCAAAACATGTTTTATCCCTTGTTGCCTTGGCAACGGAGCCTGCATATCTCCACCCAGGTCATCTTCCTTACTCTCTGCACCCAGCCATTTTAATCCAAGGCCTCTGCAGGCTTTTTAGAAGCAGTGCCTGCTTTGAGGAGGACAAGGTGGCCTGCCTGTGAGGGCTCTTGGCTTTCCAAGGACTGGACACACCACAGCGTAGCAGATCTGTACACTATGCTTCATTAGGGCACACACCTTTCCCACCCAGAGGCTCTGGCTCTGGGTTAACTCCACCCTTCTCGGCCTTGCAAGTTGACGTTGCCGCGGAAATACATCTTTTATGCTCAGGCCTTTGGACTCAGTCCAAACAAAAGTGTTGAAGTCTGTAAAGTGGCATACAACCTTTGCCTCCTTCCAAAAAGTCTTGCACTAGTTGGGATGAGGGGCTGCCTCGGGGTGATTGCTCCTTCTCTGGTTGCGGCCGAGCTCCAAGCTCTGCTCTTAAACCAGTGCTTCTTAACCTCGACAGCTTTAAGACGGGCGGACTTCAACTCCCAGAATTCCCCTGGCTGGGGAATTC